ACCATTGGGGATGTTGTCCATTACTGTTTGTAGTTGTCTGTAAAAATCATCCTTCTTGTCTTGAGTGATTGTAACTTTCCTACCATTTGAGTTGTATTTTGCTGGTATTGTCCTGGATGAAATTGGTTCCCGCTGCATAAGAGCTTTGGCTGCTGTCGGTGACATCAAGATAGCCACTCCTTTAGTGTTTTCATGGTTGTCGTCTGGATGACCGGAGTAGATTACTGACTCTCCATTTAACAATTTGGATAGTCCACATACATTCCATCTACTCTCACAGATTCCTAGCACTTCTATACCATATCTTCTCATTTCTTTTTAAATCCAACCAGGTATTCCAGCTTCGAACATTGTATGGACATTTCACTTCCTCATTCTTATTCTTGCTTTCATCGAGAGAAGATACATCGGCTGACTGGCTTCCTGAAGGCTTTCATCAGCCCACGTTGTTTCGTCTCTCCGATACCAGTGAAGAACGAGTTTATTTTTATAGATTTTTGTTGTGCTTTGAAGTTTCTGTACAGACTGGATTGATTTTCCGGCGTGCGGTCGCTGGCCACACGCCCCACCCTCTTTTTTTCCCGGGATTGGGACTGGTTAGTAAACCAGTGAACTTGTAAACTAGGTAAGGTTGAAATACAACTAGTAGGTTTAAACAATTGGTGAGAGTATGACAATTACAAAAAATCACCATACTAAAGAATTCAATTTAGACTGAAATTCAAGTATTGGTTTGTAGGGATTTGATTGATTGGTTACAGGATTTCATCATGAGCTGACATTAATTGGAGAACCATTGGAAAACCTGGGAGTACTGGACAACTGTTTAGTTCCTAGTTTGGGACTCTTCATCAGTGCGCACCCACCGCCAGGGTTCGAACCCAGGACCTTCTAGTTACAAGGCAAGCCAGCTCGTAGACCATTAAGCCACTCATTGGGACCCGATCCAATGGCCCATGAATTCTAACTTCTGCCAATTCACGATATAGCGCGACCGCTAGCCAATGTCTTCGGCGAGTATTTTTCCTCACACCCCACCTGCTGTATCCTACTGGTCACGACTTCCCACTAGAACTCAGGTAACCACCTACCTGAATAAGACCAGTCACTAGTGAGCATCTCATTGACATTCAAGTATTGGTTTGTAGGGATTTGATTGATTGTATTTCTTCAATGAAGAGAACAAAATCCTTCGCCTTATGAGCTGCATAGAATTTTAGACATGTATTTTATCGAAACTTGGGATTCCTTAGTGATATATAATAATTAAATTAATAACAAGAGGATATTAGCTAATAGATTAAATTGTCAAAGGATATTCTAAGTTTGCTGAAGTCACAGGCTTACTGGAAAAACACGTATTACAGTAAATTCTTCTGGATAGTATCACTTGCACGTCATCCTGTAGATATAATTCCATATGGTAGCTATCATCACTTAACAGTTTGGGTGACTGACTGATAAACTTGATCATATTGCTGAGTATTTCCCAACATAATCAATTTATGATGTAGTGTTACTCATCCTCAGATATTACTAATATTTCTGTTATAAGCTTCAATTTGGCTAAATATTTTCAGAGAGAAACTGTTATCATTCTGTATATCTGAGTTGAAAATTTCTGAATATTCAAGTATTCTGTTATTGATAAATTCTATCATTTGGATGACCAAAGACTGGAAATTTCATTGAAGTTGTAGATAAAATCAAAAATACATGGTATTCTAGAGTTGGTCCACAAGCGAAACATCGATTTTTTCTGATACTCTTGATCTCTAACAGCCATCCTGAGAACCTTTTATTTTTAGTCATTGTATTGGTGTGTATTCTTATCGATTGTTTCGTTGGCCTCATATATGTAATTTTGAATGTTTGACAGATCTCACCAAAGCCAGCATGTTGAGCGATTGCTAATTTATCTTACTTAATCAGAAATTACTGAAACAAGTGAAAATATCTTTCGAGCTGCATGATACAGGGAAGGTCTTATAAACATTGACAATAAGTCTCATGTTAGATCATGAGCTGATATCAATTGGCGGACCATTGGAAACTATAGAGTACTGGACAACTGTTGAGTCTTAGTTCGCGACTCTTTAGCAGTATGCATCCAGGTGCTCACAGGGGACCTTCAAAGGTGATTCCCGAAATCGGAAGAAACAACTGTTCAGTACTGCCTGGTTTTCGATGATTCTTTAACTTATAACAGCTTGTGATCTTACATGAAAGCCATCTAATCCATACGAAATAGCACTTGAACCTTTGATTGGTCGATAGGTAGTAACTAGTATCATGTGTCTAGTCCTTTTCTCGCTGCAGACTGAATTCTATCAGTCAAGTTTGTAATGTGGCCACTATGCTAGGTGGCTCGCCTTCACAGTGCACTGTGAATTGTTGATATTAGATGGTTGAAGGTAATCAACAGGAGGCCTCACACCTAGGTTTCGTGCTTCTTAGCACTCACCAGTCAGCAAGGCCTTTCTGCAATCGTCAAGCAACTCATGTATCTTCTAGCATTCGAACCCGTATCACCCAGTACTACAGTCACAGATGTTACCACTGAGCTATTCCGGCTCCCTGATTGCTCCACCATCTATATCAGTAATTCAGAGTGCAACGTGATGTCGAGCCACGTCGTATGGTGGCCACATTGCAAACTTGACTGGAAGAACTCAGTCTGCACCAAACAAATGTCTAGATGCATGATACTGGTTACTAACTAGTGTTTGATCAAAGTATCCAATACAGTCCTACAGGAGATCAGTAGTGAACCCGAATAGCTCAGTGGTAACATCTCTGAGTGCAACACTGGGTGACGTGGGTTCGAATCTCAGAGGGGATATAAGTTCCTTGAAGACTGCAGATGCGCCTTACTGACGAGTGTCATCTAGCACGAAACCTAGGTCGAAGGCTTCCTGTAGATTGCCTCCGACCCTCTAATAGCACTTGAAAATTGACAATGAAGCCTGAAAAATATCTCCTCTGAAAACTTACAATGATATCCAGAGAGAGTAAGAAAAACCCATTGATCAATGGTATCAGAGTTTTTAGATCATGACCTACAATGTTTCTGAAGTCCTCTGACTTAATATTTGCAGCAATGATTTATTACTGAGTCATGAATTAAGCGTCTCGATTTCCCTGATTTGCCTGATTAAGATTTTAGCGGGACTATCTTGTGGATCATTCTAGCCCCACAGTCTTGTAGAACTATTATTTAGTTATTACAACTAAAATTGATGAAATATAGTGGAGAAATTCATTACATTCATTAGTCAGCTTATCTGCTAAACGTGAACCACACAGGCTGTTTATGAATACGTTATCCTTCAGTGCCTGTCATGTCTGAAGACTGAATGGTACCCTAATTTTTATCTGCTTTCAGAAGAATTTTACATCCAACTTACATCTGTGTCTTTAATTCAGGAATTTCCCAGTTTTTTAACAAGGTACATATGGTCTCATTTTACTTAGCAGTTATCCTACCCTATGTTATTCTCGCGTTTCTGTTAGTAGATTAGGTTAAATGTGAAGGCCTGTTCCTATTTGCAGTCACTGAGATTAGTCAATGCTCTGAAAAGTATAATGGTCAAATTAACAGGGTGTTATTTAGCTATCAAATGCCATTTTTTCCCTTCACGTTCCCCAGTGGAACATAGGGCTTCAAGCTAGTGGCCTGAAGTTTCTGTAGCAGTGTTTATTTTACAGGATGAGGTTGCTAGCCTCATGCCCAACCTTCCTCTTCACCAGCATTATTTCTGGCTTAGCGAGGTAAAGGAGTCCGTCGGCCGGGGATCGAACCCCGGACCAAATGCATGGTCGGCGAGCATCCTAACCGCTATGCCACCGAACGACAGTAAGTCTCATAAGCTGGAATAATAGTGATACCTTTCAGTCACTCAGTGATTTTTATTGGTGAAATGGAAGAATTAGCAGACAGTATAGGTAACGATTTGATGGTGAGATCTTTTAGTGCTGATAATCTCTATGACTATTCATTATACAAAAGACAAGAGAATCATTTTCCTTGGTAGGCAGTGCATTACATGTCTAAATTTGAAGTAAAAATTATTGATTGGTTGAGGGCATTGTGGTAACTGCGATAGTCGGCCAAACACTCAAGTAAACCATAATATTTGACTGATGGAAAAAAATGTAATTACATGCATAAACCTAGAAAGGTTTTCTTAAAAACTGAAGAAACTAATTAATTTAATTTTTGGTACTTCCATTGTATTTATTATGAAAACCATGGCAGTCTGTGTTTGAAGATGAGAGGTGGGTAGTAAGTAATTTAGAAATAAAACCACGATTGATATCAGTTAGAGAATCATTGAAAACTAGGGAGTACTGGACATCTGTTTCGTCCTAGTTCTGGACTCTTCAATAGTATTCGTCCATGACCCATCTTCAGAGATCGAACCCAGGACGTTCAGGTTGTGAGGCGAGGTTTTTGACCATTCATCCACTCAGGCGGAATCTAATGGCTCATAAATTCTAACTTCTATCAATTCTCGATTTATAGTACTACAGCCAGCTAATGCCATCTGTGAGTATTTATCCTCGCACCACTTCTCACTAGAATCTCAAGAAATTTATCCAGTAGTCAGTACCTAGAGAGCATTATATTTTCTATTCCTGATTGGTATCAATAAACATAATTGTATTAAGTAAATTGCACTACACTGATTATATCCACGTGCCTGCAACCTGGCTTAAGTTTTTCACCACCTAGTGAGATTGAGTAGTAATAATAATAACTAGATTAAATGAAATTATCATTCCTTTTCTGAGTTCAGTGAATAATATAAAAGTGCTTCAAAGGTTATCAATGCATTTTAAGACATAAACGATTTCAGCGGGTATCTGAGTATTTTATTATCCTATAGGAACAGAGACTTATCCAGATCCATGCCTAATTAGGTATATATAAACGCACCTCTGACAAGAAGTTTTATGTAAAATAATAATACTCGATAAACAATTACAAAGAAGCAAAAATGAGGATCATTCAGCTGGTCACTGTTTTGACAGTCTATTGCTTAGTAATTGCAATTGACTGTAAATTTATTTGTAAACTGGAGCCTATGAAAAAAATTGTAAGTCTACATTGCCGCTAAACATGTTTTGTTTTCTGTCTTGTGTACATACATACTAATTTTTTTTGTTTTTCTAACTAACAGGTACATGGAGGTTTTTCTCAAGGTGTACAAACACGTCAAATGGGTAGTCAGAGGCTACAGATTGTACCATTATTCGCACCAACTTTTCATCGTGCTCCAAAGGTTCAATTTTTAAAGGTAAGTAGTACAGTTGTTTATCTTTCATGCTCCATTATTGTGTGATGGCATCATTATCGGTATTGCCGATATTTCACTAGACGAAGTGGATTACATAATGTCACATATTTTTTAATTACTGATGTGAATTTTATTTAGAGGTATTTGTAGTAAATAAATCTTATCTCTATAAGCTGGTTGCTAATTAGTAGACAGTACCATCATACTTAAGCGTCGGTGGCATAGCGATTAGGACGCTCGCCGACCATGCACATGGTCCGGGGTTCGATCCCCGGCCACCGACGCACTCCTTTACCTCGCTAAGCCAGAAATAAAAGCTGGTAAAGAGGAAAGGTTGGGCATGAGGCTAGCAACCCCATCCTGTAAAAATAAACACTGCTACAGAAACTTCAAGCCTCTAGCTTGAAGCCCTATGTTCCACTGGGAACGTGAAGGAATAAAAAAAACCATCATACTGAATACTGGCTGAAATCTGTTGATTGTGTAATGACACGAGAGAGCAAACTATAGTTTCCTCTTGTCAGAAGCGAAACACGTTTAAATTTCAGAAAAAAAAACTATTTCTGACACTGCTTGATAGTTTTTCCCAACAGGGATGATATCTAAATCTGTGGCATTCTGATGATTTAGTTATAACAACCAACATTTGCAATTTTCAAGGGTTGGTTGTAGGAAATTAACAGATTTTTATAGATTTTTATTTACATTATTATTCGTTATTGTTAGCAGAGAAGCAATGTCTTCTGATTGGTTGTTTTCCTGCTGAAGGTTATTCTGTCATCTCTTTGTTGCCGTTTCTTAGACAGTCCGGTGATATATCTGCGAATCGCATCCGCTCACGCTAAGTCTGCTGTGATTGGTTGTTGAGTTCCTCAAGGTTAGGCTTTGTTATTGTTTTTTCTCCTGACTACAATTCGCGACGTAAACACTGACGTAAATTGTTGCTTACAATTTTGTCTTGCAGACAGCTCTCACCACAATTCTTCTTATTGAAGCTGTTGCAAACCTAAGTATTCATCACTCTTCAATACTTTCCCATCTACAATAAGAAACTTATGTTTGTACTTGAAAAATATCAAAAACACAATGGAGATCTGGTTGAAATCCACTGTGCACTATTCATTAACTAGTTAGTTAACTAACTCAATCCATTTTTCGATGGCGAGCTACCTAGAATGGTGGTCACATTGCAAACCTGACTGATAGAATTCAGTCTGCACCAAAGAAAGGACTAGACACATCACACTAGTTACTAGTGTCCAATCGAAAAATATCCACTACAGTCCTACAGGAGGTCAATCGCCAGTGAGCCCGAATAGCTTAGTGGTAACGTCTCTGACTGCAGCACTGGGTGACGCGGGTTCGAATCTCAGAAGGAACATGAATTCCTTCAAGGTTGCAGATACGCCTTACTGATGAGTGCCAACTAGCACGAAACCTAGGTCCAAGGCTTCCTGCCGATTGCCTCCAACCATCTAATATCATTAACTCAATCCATATCAAGCAATCTTTTCATGCCAAAAATACATTTAAAACAATTTTAAACATTGAATTATTTTTCTTCTGTTTAAAAATTTTTTTTCAGACACAAATAGTTGATAAAGCATTAGAATTCTGGCATCAAGCTCTCAGTGTTAAACGACCGTCTAACAAAAAGATACTCGTAAGAAGGTAAGTTCTCATAGATATTCTATGGTGTTGTGAAAATTGTGAATATTGTTATACAATCCTATTGCCTTTCTGATGTACCAGAGTAAATTAATTGATAACATATGACCAAATTAGCCAGTATGATAATATATAATATATTCCTTAGGAGACTCAATTATCGTGGGCCTAAACCCACACAATGGATCATGGATAAGCTCTAATGTAGAGATCCATTGAGAAACAAAACAATTGATCGGTGTTTCTCGGTTCTACAAATCTAGTCTCAATTACCGCAAGTGTTACTGTATTATTATTATTTCCTTTAATTCCTAGAGGAATATAGGGCTTCAGCCGTGCGTCTCCATTGCGTTCGGTTCTCTGCTAGAGTTTTCACCTGGCTCCAAGTCTGCCCACACGTTTTCATCTCATCTTCACATGACCTCCTCCAAGTCACCCTTGGACGACCAACTCGCCGCTTTCCTTTCGGGTTCCACTCGAGCAATGGCTTGTCTAGTGATGTCACTTGATGGTTTCCTCAGAGTATGACCAGCCAATCCATCTCCATTTCTTCCTGCCTATTTGTTTCACAATCGGTTCCTGCTGTGTTGGTTTGCTCACTGCCAGAGATACCTATTGCTGATCTTTTCTGGCCGGCCATCTGATCTTGAGCTAAGTATTGAGCGAAGACAACTGTTAATGAAAGCCTGTAGTTTGTTTGAGATGCTTTTTATGACGCGCTGGCCAAGTCTCTGATCCGTATAGTAGCAGTGGCTGACTTCACATTGGATTTGAAAATCCGGACCTTATTTTTTCTTGCTGAGTGCTGTTGACCTCCAAACAGACTTGAGAGAAGACTTGTGTTTGTATACGCTGCCACCAATCACTAGTTCATTGAAGGTGCAGAAGTCGGCGAAGAGTTCTCCGTTTTCATTCATTTCTCCGAGAGTTTTTATACCCATGATGAGTTCCCTACCTGTGTTGTCTGATCCCAGTTTGGCGTTCATGTCTCCCATTAGTATTTCAATGTCACCAACTGGAGTATTGTCCATTGTTGCCTGTAGTTGTCTGTAAAACTCAAGTGTTGGTTTGTAGACATTGCATTCGTTTCAAGGTTGGTTTCAATGTAAGCCCGCATCAGTAAGAGAATCACGGAGCACTAAACAGATATTTCATGCCAGTTAGGAACTCTTAATTGGTGGGCCCCCATGATTCCACTGAGAATCTAACAGATGTCAGTTCTGTTAGTTATTCATGTGCGAAATATCATCACCACAGTATATATAACTACAAAAAAGAACTTCCAATGGACAACATATTTTGTTATTTACACGCCTGTAAACGTGTTGAAGAATGACTGTAGAGCTTTTCACAATAATTCCAAGGAGTGGGCGAATTACACGAGTGAAATAAAATTAAGTGACCTAAAGAAGGATAAGAGAAGAACTTCCAAATAATGTGTGATTGACTAACAAGACAACTGTTTGGAAACCCACGGCAAAATTAAGTTGAAAGAACTTCTTTTGAAAACACAACCTTCATATGAATCTTTTGGTTGTTCTTTAAGTAAACGGCGAAGGAAAATTTTCTTTTCGACAATTCATTTTTAAAACCTGTACATTTGTATTTATGTTATTTCAATAATTTAATAATTCCCATTGTAATATTAGGAAAATAACACAATAAGAACATAAATCAGTCAGTGAAACGTTGTTTGCTGCAAAATTAAAAATGGCGTTCACCAGCAGCCATAAATTGTTCTTCGTCTCTGTGAAATATAAGCTCCCTCGTCTGACCGCCTCCGTGTGAATCTATCAGTTCACCTGCTCTTGTGGAGCAAGGCACATTGATCGTAAACAGAGAACGCTTTCCACAGGGATACAAGAACATATTCCAGCATGGTTTTACAAGGGAGAAAGGAAGGGTGTGTGAAGCTCTATTCTAGAACACTTGATCGACTGCTGTCACTCTACCAACCCTGACCATGACTTTAAGATCATCCATAGAATCTAGGCTAACTTGATGCCTTTTGGTTACAGGATTTCATCATGAGCTGACATTGGTTAGAGAACCATTGGAAAACCAACAGGGAGTACTGGACAGCTGTTTCGCAGCCCTGTTTGGGACTCTTCAGCAGTACGCACCCACCGCCAGGGTTCGAACCCAGGACCTTCTGGTTACAAGGCGAGCTCGTAGACCTTTAAGCCACTGAGACGCGATCCAATGGCCAACCCATGAATTCTAACTTCCGCTATTTCGTGAATTGGCAGAAGTTAGAATTCATCTGATTGAATATCTTATATATATATATATATATATATCGTATAAGTTTATCAGAGAATAAGCAAGAAGCTGTTTGGTCGATGGTAGCTAGCAGTTTGACCCAGGACGTCCGTTTCGTCTTATGATGGACTCCTCACCTAGAAATACCTGCATCCCCACTTAGTGATGGCACAACTGTTAAAACCCATACTCAACACCCATAGTTTCAAATGCCAGAGCATTATCCATTAGATGGCTAGATCTCGACATCTATCTCTTATACAGCTGGTACTAATTGTAATTAGTTTAAATTTTTATTTTCACTTTTCCGCCAAGTGATTTGATGGAACTAGAATGTTCAATCTAGCTTGACATATTGTCTCCTTGTATGGACGTTTGAACAGAAAAAGTCTTAAGCTTCAGGGGGAATTAGTAATTATTCCTTACATACTATGACATTTTATGCATGTTTTCTTTACTACCAGGGATTGTGTGAATGACAGACTTCGTTTCTATCCTCAAAATAACGGAACATTTGAAACAATTTGCGATATAAATTGTATGCCATCTGCTAAGTGTCATACAGTCGAAATACCTCAACAGTATTTACAAGTAAGCCATTCACTTATTATTATTATCTTATTATTATCATCTATCCTAAAATAATATGGCATTTTATAATTTCTCATTTCATCATTTCAAAGCTAATTTCATGTAGTGAGAATGATTTGAAGTTTAATCGAATTTAGATTATGGGGTTTTATAGGTTTTTGAATTAATTTCAACATTAAGGTTCGTTAAGAACCAGCATCATTTACAAAATTATTCAAAACTAGGAAGCAATGGACAGCTGTTTCGTCCTAGTTTGAATTCAGGTCGAATTGGTTTCAATCGTCAGTCGACTGGTCTCGTAACCAGAAGGTCTAGGGTTCGATCCTTGGTGACGTTGTGGGTGTACATTAACGAAGAGTCCCAAAATAGACCAGGACAGCTGTTCAGTACTTCCTGATTTTCAATAATTCTCCAGCTTATGTTGATTCGTGACAAAATCTACACTGAAATTTAATCTAGTGGACACATTGCACATGTGTGTACGTCAATGTTTAAAGCTGTACAGCCAAGTGCATTGGTCAGACTGAATCAACTAAGCAAGAACAACAATTGTACCAGGATAATATGAGCTCATCTTTTATTATTTCGAGGATTCTTCTCAACTGGTTACAACCTGAACGATAAAAAATATGAATTACATTAAAGATTTGAATATACTTTTCCACGATCACAAGGAGTAATTGGTAGGAAGTAAAAGTAACATTAGTCCGGAATGATTTAACTAATTAAGAGTTACAAGCACTGACTATTTATAGAATAATTCAAATGAACTGTGATCAATATTTGACAGTTTATAAATATTCATAGAATAATTAGACAATTAGGCTTGGAAACAAAAACAAGCTGTTGTATATTTTTTTGTCACCAGGGCAGTGCAAGATTCACCACTGTCTCTTTCTGCGTACATAGATTTGGTTTAAGTCGTCTGATAGCAATTGCTTCAGCAAAGCGTAGCAAGCTAGGTTTCTTTTGCTTGTTGATTATTTTGAATGACTTCAAGTTGTCTACATTATGACCAGTGTCTAACAGATGACGCGCAATTGCACTGTTTAATACTTGTGGACCTTTCAGTCTCAGGTTCTTTGGTATGTTCTTGCTTTGTTCAAGTTTATTAATGGGAAGAATTGCATGAAGTTTTTGAATCAACTAATTTGTGCAGGTGTTGTCCAGCTTTTAAACGAGGTCATTTGTGACTTGAACACCGTTAAATTCATCACAGACTAGTACACATTAGAATCTCATGAGATTCTCCAAGACAAATCATTTTGGACTGAACTGAAGTTACTATTTGAGCTAAGTGTACAAATAAAATTTGACGCTTTAAGGATTTGAAACCACAGTGTTTACAGATGAAAAAAGCTATTACTTTAGCTAACATATTTAATAGCAAAGATAAAAAATATTACGGTCATTGAGTGAGAGCTAAATAAATAATTTACACCTTTTTCGAATAGTTCTCATCATCATATCGACATTGATAATAGAATTACTGTCAAGGAACTTAGCCCTAAGTTCCTATTGTAATGAAGACGTTTTCGTTTTGAACCGATAAATACCATGTATGTGTCTCAACTTTAAATCCAAAACACCAGTATTCCTTGAACGAAATTATATTGTTTGGCAATTAAAGCGAGGCAAAATACAAAATCTACAAACAAATGTTAAGTACAAATGAAGTTATAAAGTACTTTTATTCGTATTTGTTCAAGTCTTCATTCAACTTGCAAGCGATCGTACCATCCGCGCCTTCGAGTTGCCCACCAATAGCTGCCAGTTCCAATAAACAAACGTTCAATGTTCACGTCCATTGACAATTACTGAGAACTCAACAAGCTCAGCTAAGTAGTTTCTCCCTTTCTTGTTCTCCATATCTACTTATCTGTGCTCATCCACATCTGTCTATGAGATAGATTCTCATGCCTTCATATAGCTATTCGACAACTTAGTTGCCATCCATTCACTTACATTTCATATTTTTCAAAATTCAGTGCGATAGTCTTATAAATATCTTATCAAATAGATAACTACATTCAAATCAGTTAGCTTGACGTTGTGGACTTGTTGTATTTTGAAGAATTCTATTCAGAAGACATCATATTTGATCGGGAAACTGAAAACCAGGCGGTTAATTTTTAAAAATTCAAATCATAACTTTGTCCTGTGTGTACTGGTTATTGATAACTGTTAATAATGATTTTGTTTTTAAAAATTGTATTCCAAAGGCTTGTAGAACACCTCAAGGCACCACAGGTTCTGATGGATCAGGTATCCCAGGTCATGCCTATTTAATGGTGATTGACGCTAGCCCTGCTGGCCCATGTAGTGATGGATGGTTGTTGGCCTATGCAAATGCATGTCAGTTGGAGCAAGGCACTGATAGGTAAGATAAATGAAACACCAGCGTAATGTTATCACTTAAAAAAAATGGTGTTTTATGCTTATTTAGTCTGTGAGAACAGGGATATCCTGGACCGACGTGAAGAACCTAGAAGACCTGGATTTCGCGCGTGGATGATTTATGTTTGATGTCACACAAAATCGAAGACTTACAAGCGAAAACCGACAAACTGGTCGAAGAAGCAGCCGGAGAAGACAGGACTCCAGGTGAACATAGACAAGACGGAGGTTATGAAAATAACCAACCACAACAACAACAACAACAGCAACATCCAGCGCCAATCACCATCAACGGGAGGGATTTGAAAGAGGTTACTTCATTCACTTATCTAGGGAGCATTGTCTCAAATACAGCAGGAACGGACGAGGATGTCAAATCGAGAATCGGGAAGGTGAGAAACACATTCATCAACCTGAAACCAATCTGGAAATCTTCGTCACTCAGCCTGCATCAACAACAAAGTGATTCGGATTTTCAATACAAACGTCAAGTCAGTTCTTCTATACGGATGGATCAGAAACTTGGCGGGTCACAAAGAATATTTCCAACAGCCTGTTGCAGGTAGACCTTTATCAACAACTGTCTTCGCTGGCTCTATACTGAAGATCAGATGGCCGGAAAGAACAAGAACCAACAAGAAACTATGGGAAGAAACAAAACAAGAACCAATCGCCCAACAAATATGCAGGAGAAAGTGGAGATGGATTGGACACTCGCTGAGGAGGCCGCTGGGTGACATCGCGCGTCAGGCCAACGCTCGAGTGGAACCCGAAAGGGAAGCGGCGAGTGGTTTGTCCAAGGGTGACATGGAGGAGATCGTGTGAAGAGGAGTTGAATCAGTATGGACTAACATGGATGCAGGTGAAAAGTACAGCAGAAGACAGAAGCAAGTGGAGACGTGTAGTTGAAGCCCTATGTTCCACTAGGAACCCAAGGGAACAATAATAATAATAAGTCTGTGAGATTCACAAGTGGTTCACACAGCTGAATTCATTTCGGAGAACAATGGTAGCAAAACTGACATTCAGTAATGCCAGTTTGTACAGGGTATTCGTGTTCTGCTTGTTTTTTTCTTCTCAATTTCATATTTTCTATGCTGCTACACAATTTTTGCCATTTCTCTTGTTTGTTACATGAACCAGCACTCCTCCTCTGTTTGGGAGTTTTACAGATGTTACACAATATACTACTTGCAAGTTCTCATAAGTAGTACACGCCACAAATTAGTTTGTGTCTATTCACTATATGTAATAATGTCTCTCGATTTATTGTAAAATGATAATAACTAACAACAGCACTTGCTCTGAGATTCATTTCTCATGCAAGTGAAAAAATGAATTATTGTTTACACTTGTAAAGGAGATTAAAGCAGTCTCAAGCAAATGTTGACATGAATAAGAGGACCATTGGAAATTTCTCAATTGTATTTAAGATACACGAATGATAGCGTTTACAAGTACTTTAAAATGAGAAATAACACCACTACATAAATTACTTATACTTAACGTTGTATAATCTAAGTATTTCTTATCACATTTACATAAATCAAACTGCTTCAGCTTAAGAATAGGAAAAAAAACATAATCACAATATCATTTACTTTCAAGAGTTGATTTATAAAGATTTAATTCGTTTTTGCAGTTAGAGCACGGATTGATATCAGTGAGGGAACCATTGAAGACCAGCAGGAGGTAATGGATAGCTGTTTCGTCCTAGTTTGAGACTCATCAGCCAGTGAGGTGGATCCATTTGGAAGTGAGGATGGATATTCCACCGGTGACATTGGTTGGTGGTCGCCCTAAAAATCACGAATTGGTAAAAGCAAGAATTCATGGGCCATTTAGCTGGGTCTTAGTGGCTGAATGGTCTAAAAGGTTGCCTTGTAACTGGAAGGTCCTGGGTTCGGACCTTAGTGGTGGGTGTGTACTACCGATGAACCCCAAATTGGGATGAAACAGCTGTCCAGTGTTCCCTAACTGATATCAGTCTTTGGTGTAACTCGAAAAAAATATCATTTACGTCGGAAATGTCATTCAAGAAGTAGGAATTAAAGAAATTTTCGTCACTGAATGGTTAAAACTCTGAATGTGACTCCTGTACTTCCATGATACATATGGATAAAACAAATATCACATGTCTAGTCCTTACAGTTGCTAACCTCTCGGACTGCAGCAATGAGTAACATGGGTTCTAATCTCCAAGACGACGTTCATTTTCTTGGTGGTTGCCGATACGCCTTACTGGCAGCGAGTGCTAATAAGTAGGAAACCTAGGTTCAGCGTATCCTGTCCATTATCTCTAACCGAAATCTCTGATGATGGCTTAGAAAGCATAATTGATGTTCACAGCATAGTACGTAATTCATGATGGGAAATAGTCACATATATGACATCTAGTTCAGTACTTACTACTGTACTGCATAGTTAGAGGTTATATAATGTCATAACTACAATAACTCAATTATTTGATATTTTCTTTTAAATAATTTATTGAAATTTAAAAAGAAAGCAAATATTTCATTTAACATATTTTTTTAAAAAGACCAATTACGGGTTACATCAACTTTTGCCCGAATCGTTTGGATGAAAATTATCCAATGAAGACAATATTATTATCAACAGCAATACATGAAATGGGACATGCTTTAGTAAGTCACCTTTTATATGATTTGCTTCAGTCAGTATTTTTCTAGACGGATTATTCTTGAATTTATTGGCTGGAAGTAATGGACAGATGTGTGATGGTAGAATGTTTGCTGATCATGTGAGAGGTCTGGGTTCGACTCCCAGCCGACGCACTCCTAAACCTCAACTAGTTTACTAGGCACAGCGGTTAAGACGCTCACCGACCATGCACATGGTCCGGGGTTCGATCTCCGGCCGACGCGCACCTGATATCAATGGTCGGCCTGCTAAATTTGGGCTACCGATATCACATGCTGAAAATCCCATACTTGTATCCAAAATACTGTGTGGAGTCAAGCTATAATAAAAAGAAATAGTAAGCCTGGAAAACAGGAAAGGTTTGGAATGGGTTTAGAAACCCTACCCGGCAAAAAACAACGCCACTGCTGCTGAAATTTTAAAGCTTGAAGCCCTTTGTTTCAGTCAGAACTCAAAGGAATTTTAAAGAATAAGACAAGTGGACAAGTAGAGAAAAGAGAAATATTGAATTTCTCATCATTTTGTTATTAAGACTGCAGAAACTCATCACTATTTATTATTTACTCCATTTGTGTTCCCAGTAGAACATAAAACTTCACGTTTCGAGTTTTGAAGTTTCAGTAGCAGTGATGTTATTCTTTCTTTTTCGGGGTGGGATTGCTAGCCTCATGTCCAGCATTTGCTGTTCGCCAAGCTTACTACAGACTAAGCAAGGTTCCGGAGTGCGTCGGCCGGGAATCGAACCCCGGACTACGTACGTGGTTGGTGAGTGTACTACTACTGAATCGCCGATGCGCAAGCTCTCCTTATTAAATGCAGTTAAGAGTTTCATGGAGAAGTAATAAGTTTTGTAATAATTACGTCTACACGTCAACTGGTGAAACAGAAAAGCAGCTGTTCATCATTCTTTGTTTATAATGACCTTTTAGCTGGCTCTATTAGACTCATTCGGTTAATGACACATAATCTACCTATTTATTAAGAAGTATCAGTCGAAATTCGTCTATCAAGTGTGAAATTTAAGCCACTAAGAAGAATTTCATGGGAGTGTTGGACATTCAGACATATCGGTTGCCGCCTAATAATTGAAATCTGATTGTCTTATCGCCTTTTATTTTTATAAGCAGATACATGATGAAGAGCTCTAAACTGCAATGAAATCCAATTCGGAATTCACTGCCATGATTTTTCCTTGGAGCCATTATCATTTTAGCTTGGATATCAAAGAATAGGTTTACACTACTTCATTGATTCTACTCCACTCTGTGTCTGCGAAACCTAGCTTCTACCGACTAATAATGTCAGAGTATTATGTTTGGGAATCGTTATTTGCGTCGGATGGTTGCTTCAAGTAAAGACATGATGTAAATGAACATGAAGTCATTTGTCGTTTCTTCAAGTAAGCTGAAGTTCTTACCCCAATAAGTGCCATCACCTCGGAACAGTGCCTTAAGTATATTTGAACTCATCAAGTGTAGGGTAGAGATTAAGTCAGGTTTCTATAATTTCTCGAATTCGATTAGATTTATAGTGCAACACGATGAACAATATAAATGCATAAATTACACCGTTAAAACAATAAATGTTAGTTTATGTCATCCTATTGATGTCAATAAATCTCTTTTTGTTATCTCTTCCTAATTCAAGGGATTCAACCGTAATCTCTATGCATTTTATCGTGATGAAAGCGGTAGACCACGAACACCACGTCATCCTAATACAGGAATGCCCAACACACCACAAGGTGAATTTGGAATATATGCGGCTAGGTAAGTTGCAAAGCTTGAATACTGTTTAAGCATTGATCATTTGTTAAAATATTTAACTGAATTTGCGGGGATTTAGTTAGTTTAAAGACAGGTTTCTTTCATGAGACAACTTCAGATAAAGGGGAACTAAGGTAAACACAGCTGTTTCTTTGTTCTGGTCTAGAAGTTTTCAGTAGTACGAAATCCTAATTATGCTAGGAGTTAGGTCCAGAATGATGGATGATAGAAGAATCAGACTGCCACAAATTGTTTGTTACTAAACCAGGAGGATGTTCACTTCAGATGTTTACGCACGTGAATTAAGTGATTCAATAGGAATCCAGTTAACCCTAGGAATTCGAGAATCAATTGATGTTGAAGTAGTTTGCTGTGAAGTTTCAACAAGAAATACTTTGAGTTACTATTGCTACTTCTTCAGGTGATTGCAGTTACTGATAATATATATCTTGAATGAGAGAAAGAATGAATTATTTGGGAGTATATATGACAATAAAAATGCTAATGTATATATATATATCTACTATGTTTCAGTCAGGAAGTTGTAATGGAGGTCCCACGTATTTGGAAGTCAGCTAGAACAACAGTCAGGCGCAATGTAGCAGTGATGGTACTTCCAAATGTCTTAGTAAGTTGTTTACCATACTCGATATACATTTTTTCTGTCACTATAAGTTACCGTTATATAGCAAAAGTATTGTGTTTCATTACCTAAAGTGGTTACTGAAATTTCACTGTTAATGTTTGAAGTCTGTTTAAAGGACAAATTTTTGTCTACATGAATGGGTTAATCACTGAGATCAACTTATTCGTTTATTCCCTTGGCTATATTTAGTTTAACTTGATAAGTCTCAAGTAAAGCAATATGCGTACTTGCTAATAACCATGTAAATTTCATTGTACTTGGTATAAATTGTCTAGTTACTCAAACCATTGGGACCTGAGACTCGACTTTATTACGTGACTCATTAAATGACAATGAAGTATTTTAGGGAAGATTAGTATTTTAGATGAAAGTGTTTTCATCAGTCTGTTCCATAACAAATTGACTCTGAAACTACTTTAGATTTTTTTCCATCACTAGTGAGCATCTTATCTTATGAAGCGTTTTTTGACCACTGTTATGATCCAGATCTTTTTAGGTAATGAAAATATTTGATGTTAGGCAAAATAAGCTTCTATTTAACTAAGGTTTCGTCCTTGTTAGTGCTCAATGGGATGGTATATTTGTCAATTTCCCTGTAAGACATTAAATTGCGACATTCAACTTCACGCAGACAGACCACTTTCATAGTTAAAATAAAAATTTGTTCTATTGGTTGAATAAAATGCAGTGACTGAGAAGCCTGATAAGATGTCAAAACTACCAGCAATAACAACAACAACAACAACCACCAGTCGCCGTCATCAGGAGAAATTTAAAGGGGGTCACGTCTTTCACTTATCTAGGCAGCATCGTCTCAGCTATAGGCGGCACGGATGGAGATGTCAAAGCTACTCAAGACAGACCTTCACTAATCTGAAATCAGTCTAGAAATCTAATGCACTAAGCATAAAGGATGAGATTCGGATCTTCTATACTAATGTCAAGTCAGTTCATGCTTCTATATGGTTCAGAAACTTAGCGCGCGTGTGACTAAAAGCATTCCAGTAGGTTGAAGATATTTATCAACACCTCTATGCCAAAGACCTTCCAGCGAACCAATCAAGAACCTATTTCCCAACAAATAAGAAGAAGGAATTGGAGACTAACTGGATAAACAATGAAGGGCCCGTTGAGTGACACCATGCACCAGACCCTCGAGTGGGACCCGAATGGAAAACGACGGGTTGGGCGTCCGACGAGTGACATGGGTGAGAGTGCATGAGGAGTAGATAAAAGCTTTTAGGGAGAATATGAAGCCAACCAAAGATGATTACAAAGGACAAGATGAAATGAAGATATACTGTTGAAGCCCTAAGTTCCACTCGGAACCTAAGGGAATAATAACAATAATAATGCAATATTAACTGAAGATATTAATTCTTACAAAATCCATTTCAGTGACCAAATTCTTATCATATAAATTAAAAGGCATTTTTAATTTTGTAAATTTATCTCTAATTTTTTTCAGAAATTCGCTAGAAGTCATTTCAACTGTCCAAATTTAGACGGTGTTGATTTAGAAAATGAAGGTTCCAGTGCAACATATTTAACACATTTTGAGAAGAGAGTTGTTCATGTAGGTAGACTGGCAATAAACACTTTCTTTTTTTGTGTATACATTTTTAGATAGAGTTTATTTGTTCTATGGATTCAGCATTTATTTAGATAATGGCTTCATTTATTAAAGAACTAGTACTGGAGAGATTGTTATGTGTGTCACTTGTAACCATAAAAACACTAGAAAGAACTCTCAACTATGTGGTGCTGTCTCATCTGAGTGAATTTTGTAGTAAGATTGGAACTCGGTGAGAGTAGTCCACTCAGATAAGCTGCATTTTTGTTTGAACTGATTAACAAGAGATGGGGGATCATTGCACAGATCGATCTACCATGAACCAGAATTTAAAAGTCAGTACACTAGTACCAATGATTGGACACCCCAGAGGAAAAACAAACACATTATTCATTCTGTACACTCTAGAATTCTAAAAATATGATTTAGGGATACAGTAGACAAGGAACTAGAAAACCTGAGTGTAACAATCTTAAATAATGAAATATTAAGAAGTAAATCACTTCCAGTTAAATCACAGTGCTGAAAAAGACATTTATTATGAATTAGGCATACAAAGTTGATATAATTGACGAGTTACATAAAAAATTCACCTACCCATACACATAAGACTCACATTTCACCTTCACATGTATACAGATCAATTTCTGGGTCCAAATCCTTGTGTGCATGTAGGGGTACAAAGCTGAGATTTTCAATTTCGCCAAAGTTAGATTCCAGTGTTTTGGTTGTCAGGCAATGCATTTTCTTCGATAGCCGACAATTCTTATCTCATTATTAAATGAGGATGTACTTTCTTACTACTGAAGCACATCCGACTGGGATGAAACAGTTGCCAAGTGGCCTTAGGTCCTTACTGGTTGTATTGTCCACATTATTCCATAATGAGGTACAAATTAATAAGTTGCTTTAGTTTTTCAATAATTCATTTGTACACAGAGTATCTTACATTCATTGAATTGTTTGCGCATTCATCTGGAATTTTTTTTAGGATGAATTGATGGCAGGTAGTGCTGAATTACCCTCAGTTGTTTCAAGGCTTACATTGTCCGTTTTTCAAGATTCTGGGTAAGAAAACAAATTTATATAAAATCTGTTTATCTTGACTGGGATTACCTTACCTTTCAAATATGCTAGTGTTTTGTTTTGGAAAATTGTACAATTTGTAGACAGTGCATGGAAGATTGTTAATTTTTGTTCATACGGTTATTTGTTTTCAAGGCTACCAGCTTGATATAAAACCGGGAGAAATATTTTAATTGAAACGTGTCCTGAAAATACTCACTTTATATATATATATATATATATATCGAATTCACTTCATCTTAAAGCAGTATAGAAGGAGATGTCTGCACTGATGTCGACAGTCCTACTCGAAATTGTTTAAACTCTGAAAGTAACAGAATGAACATAAAGAAAAAGATTTAATTCAACTTAGATTTTCCTGTCGATTGATTGGACCAAAGTGCTCGGTCTCAGGTTGACATATCGGCTCCTTGTGCAGATGCTTCGATGATGTCTGGTCATGTTACCTGAAGACAGTTGGTTAATGGTGACTAGCAGTGGAATCCAGGATGCACATTTCGTCCTATTAGGGACTTGTCAACTGGATGTACCTGCACTCCGCAGTGAGTGATGATGTTCCCACTGCTAGTCACTATCCACCAATTAATTTCTAATTAAATGTCCAGACATCGTCGAAGCATCTGCACAAGAAGCCTACATGTCAACCTGAGATCGAGCACTTCGGTCCAATAAATCGACGGGAAAATCTAAAATTGAATTAAATAATTAATATGACCCTTTGCATATGACGTGGCTCTCGTGGCCCAGATGGTCTACTGGATAAAGCTTTGGCATTTGAAACTATGGGCAATGGGTTCAAGCATCGTTAGGAACACCATCACTCACTGGGGAATGCAGGCACATCCAGATGGAGAGTCCCAAATAGGACGAAATTCGCATCCTGTATTCCACTTCTAGTCACCATTAACCAATTGACTTCAAAAAGAATATAAGTTTAATGGTAAATTGAAATTCGGATACAGTCAGCTTGTTTATTTCACTAGTCAGTCTTTTGTAAGTGGAATTAAATGACGCTGAATGGTTGAAAACTTTGGTCCTTTGAAATGACGTCGGTTCGTGCTCGAAGTCTACATTGAAATAAATATTTTAAGTTATTGACTTTCCCTTTATGTGTTTTTTAACCATTGTCTGTTTTACAGAAGTTGACCATCAGATTGTATTCCTATGTCCACTTTTTCAAATAAATCAAACAATTGAAAGTTGTGGGGATATAGATCTGTGTTGAAATATTTCAACAGGAGAAAATTAACTGAAACACGTCGATGATCATAGTTACTTTATCTCCCAAATTAATTCCAGCTTTTGAATTAGATAGCTTCTCAGTAGCTTAATTAGATGTGACAATTTTGAAGACAACATGAAATAATGACTGTTCACGTCTTCAAGAGTTTTTTTATTCCTTTATGTTCCAATTGGAACGTAGGGCTTCAAGCTAGAGCCTCGAAGTTTCGGTAGCAGTGGTGTTTATTTTTACGGGATGGGGTTGCCGGCCTCACGCCCAACCTTCCCTCTTTACCGGTCTTATTACTGACTTAGTGAGGTAAAGGAATGCCTCAGTGGTCGGGGATCGTACCCCGGACCACATAAGGCGTGGTTGGCGAGCATTCTACCGCTGTGCCACCGATGCACATCAAGAGTGGTTTGACATTATCCAAATTGGAAATCTAATTTGTACTTTGAAGTATTAATCTAGGAATTAAACACCAGCAGATACTTTGTATTAATTTCTCATAGAACATTGAGTATTTTGCAAGAGAGTAAAGCAGCAACACAGTGAAAAGACTGACATTTTGAGCCAGTAATTCATCTCATAAAAAAAAATTGTGATAAGTTTCTTTGTCTCTTGTTAATATTAGCTACAATGTCCTATTTTTTTAGATGGTATAACGTGAATTTCAATATGGCCAGTGAATGGAAATGGGGGAAAAATTTAGGCTGTGACTTTGTAACAAAAAGTTGTTCTGAATTCTTGATGATTCAAAGAGGCAGGTATGTTATGTACTAAGAACTTAGTTTAGTAAACTTTATACATTTTTTAAGTAATGCAGAGTTTGAAAACTCTCATAAGGTGATATATATATAAATTTACATATATGAAGAAGGTTCGGATTTTCAACATTATTGTTAGGTCAGTACATCTATATGGTTCAGAGACTTGATGTGTTATGAAAAGCATTTCCAACAGCCACCTTCACTTTATAGTCAAGATCAAATGGTCAGAAAGGAATAGCAACTAAGATCTCTGTAAGGCAACGAACCAACCAAGAACCTATTGCCCAAGAAATGTGCAGGAGAAAAAGTGGAAATGGATTGAACACACCCTCTGATGATACCTTTGAGTGAAATCACGCGCCAGGCCATTGCTTGAGTGGAATCCCAATTGGAAAAGATGAGTTCGGAGTGGATCCTGAGGATGGTACTGAGGAAATCATATGAATAGGAGATGAAAGCTTATAGGCAATCGTGGATCGTGAAGATGTTTTCCAGTCGGAACCCAAAGGAATACTTATAATAATTTTCTATAGTCGATTTGTAAGGATTAGTTTTGTTTTTACGAGTTGATCACAGATTGATATGAGTTAGAGAACCATTGAAAACCAGCACTGGTGTACTGGAAAGCTGTTTCATCCGTTCTAGTTTGTGAATCATCGGCAGTACGCACCCACTGGGGTTTGAAGCCAGGACCTTCTGGTTACAAGGCAAGCTCGTATACCTTTCAGCCACTGGGACCCGATTCAATGGCCCATGAATTCTACCGATTAGTGAAGGTCCTGGGTTCGAACCCCAGTGGGTGCGTACTGTTGATGATTCCCAAAGTAGGACGAAACAACTGGCTGTCCAGTGCTCCCTTGTGGTTTTCAATGGTTTTTCTAAGTGATATCAATCCGTAATCAACTTATAATAATAATAATAATAATATTCATCTAATTATTTTTCATTATCATTGAATCACAAATAATTCCTTAATTTCCTCAGAGTTTAGTAATCTTGAACTATTGAAGCTTTTCCACCAAAGTGTTCTGATTTTTTTTATTCCTTTACGTTCCCAATGGAACATAGGGCTTCGAGCTAGAGGCTTGAAGTTTCGGTAGCAGTGGTACTTATCTTTACGGGATGGGGTTGCTAGCTTCATGCCCAACCTTCCTTCTTTACCAATCTTATTACTAGCATAGCGAGGTTTGGAAGTGGATTGGCCGGGGATCGAACCCTGGGCCACATAGGTGGTTGACGAGCATTCTACAACTGTGTCACCAACACTAAGCGTTCTGATACTATCTGCATGTATTTCTAAGTAGGCTTGTACACTTTAGGTGAATATCTGATCGAGCACATCACGTAAATGTTGATTTATATGTATGACGTGGATTTCAAGAGTATGTACTCTTTCAGTGTTCAAAAGGCGACTTCTAAAGATATGCTGTTAGTGAAATGCTCTAAAACATTAAAACACTAAGTTCATTGCAAATGCGCTTCAGCTTAACAAAAGGTTCTTGCACAAGATCTTCTGCTTATCAGTATGCTAACTAACTTTATGAAAGCATATTTTCATTGGAAATTAGAAAGTGTATCGCTGAATCTCCTATTATTGTACAGAAGTCTATCGACACTAACTATATAACAGTTATGTTGCCTGTCATACATCAACCGATTTGTTGAAATCCTGAATTTTTTTGAGAGTTTGACAATGTGTACACAGTTTCGAGTCCACGAAAGAATACGACAGTCCGAGCAGTAGAATTATTTATCATTTTATCCAGACCACTGTTCACCAGTTGACCTCAGGTGTTCTATTTTAACTACATTTTACTGTCAGTAACAGTGTATATATGACTCACTGTGTCACTTATCTAAAATCTCCTCATTATAACATCTTACTTTTCCTACAGAAATGGACCAACTGGCCCATGGTGTGATTTCTTTGATCATAATCGTGTTCAGTGTGCAACGCATAATGATGCATTTAATTATTGTAATATGATACGACATAATGAACCTATCCCACCAGAAAAGCAGCATATAACAAATACAAATGGTCTAAATCCAAATGACATAAATTTTCTGGCTGGTGAAAGTAAATTACATGATGGTTGTGCTGTATTTCAGGTAATTGAATATCCTTTGAGATTGTTCTTTGTGAAATATAAAAGTATCTTGTAGTAAAATGTATTGATTTGAATATGAGGAAAAGAAGGTGTAAACAAAGGGGAGAATTTTCTTTTCTATGAATCATTTTCAAGAGCTGTATATAATCGTATTTATATTTAACAAAGAACTAATAAGACCCGGTTTCTGAATCTGGATATATCAGATGATTACAGGCAACCGTTTGGAAGCCTTCGACCTAGGTTTCGTGCTAGATGACACTCGTCAGTAAGGCGCATCTGCAGTCTTCAAGGAACTCATATTCCCTCTGAGATTCACACCTACGTCACCCAGTGTTGCAGTCAGAGATGTTACCACTGAGCTATTCGGGTTCACTACTGACCTCCTGTAGGACTGTTTGGGTACTTTGATCAAACACCAGTTAGTAACCAGTATCATGCATCTAGACATTTGTTTGGTGCAGACTGAGTTCTTCCAGTCAAGTTTGCAATGTGGCCATCATGCACTAGATGCCTCTACATCACGTTGCACTCCGAATTGTTGATATTAGATGGTTGGAGGCAATGAGTAGGGAGCCCGAATAGCTTAGTGGTAACAACTGTGACTGTAGAACTGGGTGATACGGGTTCGAATACTAGAAGGTACATGAGTTGCTTGAGGATTGCAGAAAGGCCTTGCTGACTGGTGAGTGCTAAGAAGCACGAAACCTGGGTGTGAGGCCTCCTGTCGATGGCGTCTAACCATCTAATATCAACATTTCGCAGTGCACTGTGATGGCGAGCCAACTGGCATAATGGCCACACTTGAAACTTGACTGAACACATGATACTAGTTACTACCTATCGACCAATCAAAGAATCCAAATATGTGTCCATACCACGGAACATAGTAATTGATCCACTGCTCATTAGTGACTCACTACGGGATTGGACCTCTTGGATTTCTATTGAGAAGTGGAAACCGGGAAGGGTTCACCAATTCCATTGTCAGAAGAGATAATCACCATTAGCAATGGATGGTGATGACACTATATGGCGGGTTTGACAGAAGTTATCATTCACGACGAGTGGATTGCTGAACAATCAACGTGCTTACCGCGTAACCATTGGCCGTTAAAGGTGTTCTGTCTTCTGAGATGTTAAATACTTCCTGGTTTCCAGTTGTTCTCTAATGTTGATATCGTTTCATGGAAAAATTCAACTCAAAATTGGCAGAGATTTTATCCTTATATTTCTTTAATATGTATATTACTATCATAAATTTCATTTTTTTCTAAAAAATAATCTGCAATGATCACCTGAAATTAAACTCATTATTTCACTTTCATTTAGCCTATTCCAAACCTTTTCAATGAGGGTTACACATCAGTGTGTTCACATGAAGAAAATAATCGTCTTATCAGTGAGTTCATTGATACTGTTTATGACATGAAAAATTTAGCTTTTAGAGTAGTTGTTATTTTCATTATAGGAACTAGCATTTTTGAGTTTTTTCTTCCCGTTGTTTAAATATCGTCACATATTTTTAATCTAAAACAAAACAAGCACAATTATTGTTTATCCCCAGAAATATATCTGAATAAATGTCAGAATTTATTGCTTCGTATAATTAAAGAACTTGCTTGTTTTTGATCACAATTTCTAGCACCATTGAGCTGCTACAAATTGATGAACATATTGGTAGTGATTCTAGTAAAGATTCTGTGTATTGCACAAAGAATTTCAAGGCGGCGAGGCGCAACTAATTGACCGTGTTACTGTTTTTAAATAGAGACTTCATTTGACACCTAGCTCAGTGTGCATCTGAACTAAAGGTAAATGTGTTACCTCTGTATGGCATATACTGATCCCAGCATGGTTAGAGAGCATGCTTGAACACTTAGCTATGTTCATGGGAAGGGCCCATTCTTCTGTCCAACATAACAGAGTATTTAGATATGTTTTGAAATGTGAGCATGTCGCTTTCCTCTTCATGATATCTTCAAATTTTTAGGTTCTCTACTGAACCAATAGAATAGAAAGAATAAATAACAGATAGTCGAGTACATTGCTTTGAGACACACAGCTTTCTACCGCCGTCCAGATAGGAATTCCGTAGTTTACTCTCATTCCCTGACCTCTACCAAAATGGAATCCTTTGATCCAAGTAATTAGCCTGATTGTGATTCCAAAAACTCCCTCAGTTTAGCGAAAACCTGGTCATTTACCGATAGCTTTTCCAAACTCTGTGAAGACTGTATCGACAGATTTCTTGTCATCCCTAAACTCTAGTCACTTTTCTCTTGCCCTGAGGTTTGTCAAACAGAAGTGTGTAATGAATGGTAAATTACTGTTCCCCAAGTAAACCATGACGGTTTTATTAGTCATTCTTTCCAGAATCTCACTTAAAGTACTCGTAAAACCGGTGGGTATGTCATTCGGGAGGTATTGTCTAAGTTATCTCTTGTGTACAGGGATGACTACTAAATTCTTCTAGCCTAGTACTAACATATTTTGTATGAGAGATATTTTGAAGGTTGTAGTTAGTGGAATGACTAAGTGGTCTGTCAGTCCCTTGGAAAATCTTAAATGAAGTGCATCAGATCCCATTGATTCCCTTGTATTTAGTTTGCTTAAGTATTTAAATACCGCTTTTTGGTCAACGTCGATCGGAGATATTCTGTTTTTCAGAACAGTAACTTGAGCTAATTAATGCTGGATAAAGTAACTGTTTCTAAGTAAACTCTCCGGCAAAGTAATTTGTCTTTGCTTTTGTCGGCGCCGTACCATGCGCCGACTTGGAAAACGCGCTCGCGAACACTACCCAGCCTGGCTCGTAAAAGGAGACCAAAAACGTGTATACAGTTCAGTAACAGAACATCTGGTCAACTGAGGACATTCAGCGCCTTTCGAAAAATCCTTCAAAGTAATATATAAGATTCAATCAAACCTATCAAAGGGAGCGAAATCAAGACATCTGGGCATAGCTGAGGCGCTAGCTATCCAAAAACTGAAACCCACTCTTTGTTTCTCATTTCATCATTTAGGTCATTTTTGTACTACTTAGTGCTACTGCTCGGTTTGTTAAACACTTAAGTAAGCCTGCCTTAAAAGTAAACGGATGAGGTGATGAATTAAAGTCTAAATATCTATTAGCCGAATGTGTTGGCTTTTTATAAACGCTGGTGTGCAGTTTACCTTCTTTGTCTCTCTAATGAATGCTTCTTTTTCAAATGGTGTATTTTTTTTCAAATATATTCAAGAAAATAACCCCTTGATGCAACAATTCGGTCCAAATTCGATGTGTGTGAATCACGGCGTAAGATGGACAAGTGGTGGCAGAAATTTAAGGGATTTGGGTGCATCATGTCACAAGGTAGGTTCACAATATATAAATTATTTTTCAACTTTTATTTTTAATGTTTTGTAATACACATTTTAAAGCAATGATGAGAACATGACCATTCATATAAACAAAACAAATATAAAAATACTAAGCGTCCAATTTTTCATTCAGTGAAAATTATTCAATCAAGTTTTTGTACAATTAAAAAGTGATACTAAGAGTTCATTTCATCGAAAACAGGTATTTAATAAGCATTTTTGTGTTTATCCCTAAGTATTTATCACATTCAAACGTGTAAGAGGGATTAATCAAAATGACTTAAGTGTTGGTTTGTAGGGATTTGAGTGACTGGTTACAGGATTTCAACATGAGCTGACATTAGTTAGAGAACTATTGAAAAACCTGAGAGTACTAGACAACTGTCTAGTCAGCCTAGTTTGGGACTCTTCATCAGTGCGCACCCACCGCCAGGGTTTGAACCCAGGACCTATAAGTTACAAGACGAGTTCGTAGACCATTAAGTCACTGGGACCCGATCCAATGACCAGCCCATGAATTCTAACTTCTGCCAATTCACGACATAGCGCGACAACTAGCCAATGTCTTCGCGACTATTTGTCCTCACACCCTACCTGCTGCAGCCTACTGGTCACGACTTCTCACTAGAACCCCAGGTAACTGATTTATTCAATGAAATGAAGTAAATAGCAAATCAGACATAGATGACAATAAAACAGTGTTCTATAAAAATTGTCTCAAAAATTCTATGTTTCCTTTCCAAGTTGTAGAATTCTTCAATTTTTTAAAACCATTACTACCCAATGAAAATCTTTACGCAAAATGTTTGATGCTTAATCAAAACATTTTTCCGTGTGTGTTAAGTAACAAGCTCAGTAGAATAATGAAAATCACCCATTTTTACCGTTCAACTCAACTATCTCTTCTGTTTTTTTCTTTTACAAATTTCAGTATCAATGCAGTGGTGGATTGAAGATTGTAGTAGGCAATAGTGTTGTTTCATGTCCTGGTCAAGGCGGAGAAGTACGTGTGAATGCACAAGGAAGCATGGGACCGATTAATGGTTCCGCTGTGTGTCCACCATGTGGTCAGGTCTGTAAGGTAAGTCATATACAAATATTTCAGTACTTTTTTATATACTAAAGGCTGGTTATATAAGAATCATATGATGACTTCATAATAATAATAAGAAGAAGAACTACTGTACATGTTGGTGACTGCACTGAACACCTCAACATTATAATTAAAAATGCCATTTTTTGTTAAGAAAGACTAAGTTATGCAAACATTCCATAAATCAGAATGATGACAAAAAACCCAACTAATACTGACTGCCATAAATTTAAATCGTCGAGCTACCTGAGAAACTGGTCAATAAATAATCAGTAGACTAAAGACTAGCCTTTAGTTTCAATCGATTTACAGCAATATGACTAACTAATTGATTTGCGCAACATAATTACTCGTTGTTAAATATTCATTGTTATTTGTTTAAAGATGCTCCGTTAGTCATTTTAGATAGGGATTTATTTTGAGTTTGTACTAGCAAACTTCCTATGTAAACTTACATACATAGTGTAACAGCAGACACAGCAGCAGATATGCAAGCGAAAAGCAACAAGTTGGCAGAAGAAGCATCCAGAGAAGATAGGACTTCAGGTGAACATAGAGAAAACAGAGGTGATGAAGATTCCTGGCCAACACCACCAACAGCAACAACAACAACAGACAACAATCAGCATAAATGGAAGGAACCTGAAAGAAACAACCTCTTTTACCTACCTGGGAAGCATCATTTCAACTACAGTCGGACGGAACTGACGAGGATATCAAAGCACCAAGGATCGGAAAAGCAAGACAACCTTTCACTACTCTCAAGTCTATGTGGAGGTCAACAGCACTAGCATCAAAAATAATATCCGGATTTTCAACTCCAATGTGAAGTCAGTCAGTGCTACTATACGGATCAGAGACTAGGCGTGTCATAAAGAGCATCTCAAACCAACTACAGACCTTCATTAATAGTTGTCTTCGCTCAATACTCAAGATCAGATGGCCAGAAAAGATCAGCAATAGAGATCTCTTGGAGCGAACCAACCAGGAACCAATTGTGAAACAAATAGACAGGAAGAAATGGAGATAGATTGGCCATACTCTGAGGAAACCATCAAGTGACATGACTAGACAAGGCATTGCTCGAGTGGAACCCGAAAGGGAAGCGGCGAGTTGGTCGTCAGTGCGAGGGTGGGGTGACTTGGAGGAGGTCATGTGAAGAGGAGATGAAAGCGTGTGGGCAGACTTGGAGCTAGGTGAAGACTCTAGCAGAGAACTGAACGCAATGGAGATGCACGGCTGAACCTCTATGTTCCTCTAGGAATTATAGGAAACAATCTTGATCCCAGTTCATATGAATAAACAGTTTATATTACTTGATCAATCACTGAGCATCTGACTCTGGTTTATATTAAACAACATGAAATATAATGTTCAGATATACATAGTATTCAGCTGTTAACGCAGTATTGAACTGTATGAAAAGTATTCTGACCCCAACAGCAAACAAAATGTTCAAATAGATATATCGTATTCTGTTGCTAATGCAGTCGTGAACTGTGGGAATATGTGAGAATCATATTCCATTGGAACACATTGTCTGTATCACACTACCATAATAGAAACATATTTTGTGTAAGATATTATCGTTCAACCCCATACTAAAAGTTATTAATAATAATGACTTCATTCCAAGTAGTACATTTGATACAGTGTGGAAATCTCAGCACATAGTACAAAGAAGTTTCATGAATAAACTTCATAGGGGAGTAGGAGTAAATCACTGTGCTCATGAAATCCTTTAAAGTATAGGTGGCTACAATGACTGCATAAACTATTCACCTAATGTAATACTTATGTTCTTATATAACATACGTAAAGGACTTTTTTAACTTAACAGTATGCGAAAGAAAGGCATTTTAAATTATAAAACAAAATTTGGTTTTCTATGAACTATCAACACTGATCATTTCTCATTGGTATTTTATGCATTTGACAAAAGAATTAGAATCTGCCTGTTTTCGAAATAAATTTAAACATTCAAATCCCATTGTGAATATTCAATGACTGGAAACATATTGTAGCGAGTGCTACTGATAAGTAAGATTTATCAGTAGTATATAAAGAGGTGTTCATCAGTATGAAAACATCAAATAGCAGGGAGATAGATTTGATTTCAGAGAAGGTAAATGATAAATTATTGTAGAAATACATGAGAGACGTGAAAGGAACTCAGAGAAACACAATATGAAGGAAGGTCAGAAGTAGCAAGCACAACATGGAAGATCTGTGCAAATAGTGAGTTTAAGATAAGGTGTACATAATTTGGCTATATAGAGATACCAAGTACCTTATCTACAACTGTGTGCGTCGGTGGCACAGTGGTTAGGACGCTCGCCGACCATGCACATGGTCCGGGGTTCGATCCCCGACCGACGCACTCCTTTACCTCGCCAAACAAGTAATAAAAAGCCGGCAAAGAGGAAAGGTTGGACATGAGGCTAGCAACCCCATCCTGTAAAAGTAAACACTGCTACAGAACCTTCAGGCCTCTAGATTGAAGCCCTATGTTCCACTGGGAACGTGAAGGAAAAAAAAATCATCTACAAATATGTATATATTGCCTTAAATGTGTCTATAGATAACATTTTATAACACTGTTTTTGATTTTCTTTATTACAGAACTGCTAAACTTATAAATACTCTTCATTACCAAAAGGAGTACACGTAATTCTACAATCTGAATGGCTAGTTATTTATTATTAAATATTTAAGTATGCATGAATTGTTTGAAAATAACTCTTCATTTTGTTAAAAATGTGATAGGATTTCATGCTTTCAGTAAATAAAAGTATTCTGTTGGTTTTACTTCTTGTTGTTGTTATCGGAAACTTAAACCGAAGGTTGTCGAAGATGGTAAATAAGATGTTGTTGGTGATGTATCATGAATTAGAAGCAACTTCTAAATATTTAGCCATGGTATTAAATCCCCTAAAAAGCCACTCGAAATCTAGACTAACTAATTCTTATGAACTAAAACAGATTAGATAATTTAAAATTAGATAATGAAGAAAAAATGGTTAGTTTTGACATTGTCAGTTTATACACACGTATACCAATAAATATGGCTATGGAGGCAGTCAGAAACGAACTCATTTTTGACCAAGAACTGGAAATTAAGACGAAAGTGCCACCCGAGGACATAATGTTGGGGGTACAGCTATGCCTGACTTCCACAGTATTTAAATTCCAAGAGAAAATATACAAACAAACTTAAGGAGTTGCCATGGGATCACCAATATCCCCAGTTGTAGCAGATATATTCATGGATAAGTGGGAAAGCATAGCGATTGAAACGTTCAACCCCACCCCAAAAGTATGGTGGAGGTATGTAGATGACACATTCACTGAACTGAGAACACAAGATAGGTTTTTCGAACACATCAACTCGAAGTTTGAAGCAATTCAATTCACTTATGAATTGGAAAATCAGGAAGGGAGCTCCCAATGTTAGATTGCAACGTAAAAAGGAAAGAAGATGGGAAGTTAAACACTAGTGTTTACAGGAAACCCACACATTCAAACAGATATTTGGACTTCCAATCATCCCATCCTATGTCAGTAAAAGTAGGATTGGTGAAAACAGGAACTGATACACATAAAAGAAGCCTTGAAACTTAATAATTACCCGGATAAATTAGTCAGGAAATATTTAAGGAAATGTAAAAATAAAATAAATAATGATAGTAGCGATAGTGATAATAATAATAATAATAATTATAATGATAACAATAATAATGATAAAAATAATATTAATGACGACACCAACAATAAGGAATCTAGATCATCAGTAGTAATTCCATACAAAGAAGGAACCTTGGAAACTTTACGCAGAATTCTTAACAAGGCAGGAATAAAAATGGCTGGCATTCAAACCCCCCACAAACTCAATTAGAAACAAGCTTTGTCGGTTACAGGTTCCTGTGGAGCCTTTAAAACAAAACAATGTATTTTATCTAATACGCTGCCTGCAATGATTGTCAGGTCAAATACATAGGTCAAAGTGGTAGAACAGGGGCAGTCAGACTAGCGGAGCATAAAAATCTAGCAAAATCTAGATTAGTTGACGCGAATAAGAAAAGAAATCTAGAGAATAGTTCAGCTATAGCACTCACCACATGGAATTACACACAACCATACAATAGAAGGATGGGATTATTATAAAATATGATTCTACCACAGTCCAAGTTTATTTATATCAAAGAAGAAGGATGACAGTTTTAAAATCTAATGTAACAGGGGTGGAGGGAGAGATTGATAACAGAAGCTTTGTTTATCGAATCAACTGCAAATACATGTAATAGGAATGATTCATCACATGTCCCCGATATCTGGAAAATTCTACTACCCCCACGACAAATAGGAGAGGACAAAGAAGACTATAAAACTCAAGTTTCAAAGTCGTGTGATCACAATTGATATGATTATGAACAATAAATTTTGTTCGAAACTGTCATCCAGTAAATAATACTGTTTCACTGTGTGATATATCTAATAAACAAACTAATATGGAATTACTTACTACCACAGTGCCCAAGTTTTACACATATATTAGAAGCAACTTGAAATCATTAGCCAATGAATTTAAATCCCCATTAGCAGAATGGAGAATCGGACACCGTGGAAATTGAATGTCATTAGTTTGCACTGTTGAATCATGTCGAGTTAGTGAGGAACTTTTACGCAAAACCCTATTTATATATCATTCGGTTTTTAGGTGGTGTTGATTTCATACTAAGTTTGTGATGAAGTAAGGTAGAAAGATTGAAAGAACAATTGGAAATATTTGACTTATTTATATTTAAAAGGGAAATAGGCCAGCTGTACAGTTAAACAGAATTCTAAAAGATCACGGAAATCCCACTTAATTATTTCATTTCTTTACAAGATATATGTAATTACATATCAGCAAGAAAAAAGGGATAAGGCTAGTTAAGTAGTTTTACGCAGTCTAAAGGCATCAAGTGGTGAATAGTGTTGAGAAATGGTTGTCATTAAAACTCGAAACCCTTGAAAACGAGAATGTTGGTCATAAGAATAAAAGATTAGGAATGATATGAAGTATGTTTTAAATTTAGGAGTTTGAAAGGAAAGAAAAAGATAAGAACGAGTAAAGAATGCATGCATACAAATTATTGTACAGGTAAAAAGCTTTAAGGCTAAGGTATTAAAAGTGGTTGGACAAACAAACTCTGGGTGTTGTGGCCCAAGTGGTCTACTGAATAAAGCTTTGGCGTTTGAAACGATGGAGGCTGGGTTTCGGTCCCAGTGGGAACACCATCACTCATTGGGGTTGGCAGTTACAATCGACCAGTAAATTCTAAATAGGTCGAAAGGCGCATTCTGGGTTTCATTTCTAGTCACCATTCAGCATGTAACATCTGTATACACAGTTTATGGTCTTCTTCGCGTGGAGTAAAAAAAAACCACTGAGAAAGGTATTATCAAGTGAGATTAATAGCTGACCGCTGCTGGACTTTCTGTGACCTGTAAAAGCACTATCTAATCGCCCAGCTTTGATGAAAAACTATGAAAAGAATATTCTTTGCTGACCTATGCCTTTTTAATTGACTTATATTGGTAGAGCACACAAAAGTACAGTAATACCTGCTGAATATACTTTCTGAGAAAATAAATTATATATATTCTCGCCAACAGGGTTGGAAAACTTTCAAGACTAGATTTTCCTTATTGTTGTCTGACCTTCTATTCGAGAATTTCGCGTGTGCCTTTTTATTTTTTGCATTGTGCACTAGTAAGTCTCAGTGTTCGGTGCATTAAGTAACGTGAAAAAAAGAGAGGATTTACATGTTTACCTTTGGAGTAGAGAGAGAGAGAACGCATAACCATGAAAACACAAGTGCCTCTCTGAGTTGACGTTTTACCTACTAGATTTCTGAAGACCAGTAAAATTGCTTGTGTGGTTTATATTATTGACAACATTTATTAGTAGACCATAGATGTAGATATAAATATGCATATCAGCTACAAGAGTATCGAATACCGGAGAGTAGTAAAATTTTCGCCAGCTACTCACGTGGTACGGCTTCGATTCCCGTCCGAAGCACTCATAAACCTCGTTTAGCTTGTAGTAAGCCCAAGGCGAGGGAAGGTTGGGCGTGAGGCTACCAACCCTACCTCATAAGTCAACACCACTGCTACTGAATTTCCAAAAGCTTTAAGCATAATGTTCCACTCTGAGCCCAAGAAATTCTAAAGTCTCAGTAGGAATGAAAAGTTCCGTCTGGGAGTAGTTGGTCATAAGACCATCGAAACAGAAGAAATCCATAATACGGATAGCCTCTAGTGACCCTGCCTTGCTTTTTTAAGGTTTCGTATGTCTATATACTATCCTTCGTATGTCATTGTTATGTTCTTTATTTCAGCGTTCATACAGATTTTCCCGAAGGTTTTCTGACCAGCTTTTATCTGTCATAAGATAACACACAAACCCAAACCCTCGTAAACAACGGATGTCATAGTATATGATGGAGAAGATTTGTAGCTCAGGTGGATGATTTCGATGTAGTTGTGTCCTCTGAGCTGGATGGTTTGTTTGCGAAGCTTTCATTGCCCTACTTGGCAACATCTTCGGCGCATACTTCAATATGTTGAAGTAAGCTTTTAGATTTCTCCACAAATTTATTAGTCGCCTTCCCTGGTGACCATGAGAGTGATTAGTTGTTTTTGTGTGTTCTCACACCGTCCACACTACTTGTATTGGTACTGATTGTTTCCTTGACCTGAAGTTCGACCCTTTGTGTGTGTGAGGTTTCCTTCTTATCGATTGTTAAATTTTGTCTATCTCTATGTGTCTATTGATTGACGATTCACTGGAATACCATGTTTCGAAAAATTATCTAGCATTCTTGGTGTTTCCTCTGTCTAATATTTGAACATTGTCCCAGTCGAATTGATGTTCGTGGTTGTCTGTATGTAGTGATATGAAGGAGTGCATGTCTTGCCTTTTGACGGTTTGCTTATGATCATGGATACGAAGACGAAGGGGGGGGGTCCACTTTGGCCAATGTAATGTTTTTCGTAGTTGTTACAGTTTACTTTGTAGATGATATTGGTTTTATCTTCTTCCGTTGTTGAGTCTTTTGGCTGACATAGAGCTGAGTGAAGTGGCTTTGTTGGTTTGTATGCGACATCAATTTATAAAGGTTTGAAGAGTCTTGCAGTGACTTCTGAGATGTCCTTTATATATGGTAGGGCGATTTTCTCTGTGCTTTCCTTGGGGGCCTTAGATTTGGTAGGTTGGCTTGGGGCTATAAGTCTTTTAATGAAATTCCGTTGATATCCATTCTTTTGGAAGATATCCATAATATACCTTTCTTCAATTTTCCTTACGGTGGGAGTGCTGCAATGAGTCCTAGCCCTCTTGAATAGTGTTTGTATACAATTCCTTTTGTTTGTTATTGGGTTGTTGCTGTTGTGATTGAGTATTTGGTCCATGTGAGTTGATTTTCTATAAACTTGAGTTTCTAATTCCCCTGTGGTTGTTCGCTTGACTAAGACGTCCGGAAATGGGATTTTGTTGTCGGATTCCTCTTCTCTTGTGAATTTGATGTCGTTGAAGATGTTGTTTATCAATTTGTCAGTTTTATCCAACTCGTTTCTTTTGATTA